CTCGTTACTGCCCGGCAGTTATCTGTGAGCTCGAGACCTTGCCTGATGGCATCTTGCGCAATCTGGAACCGGGCAGCCTCTTTGAGATGTGCTTTCTCCTCCAGGGGAAGGCTTTGCGTAACCAGAACCTTGAGGTTGCCGCACATCATCTGGATGTCGTGATCCGCACTCATCGAGATGAGCTGACTTCCGTCTGGATGCAGACCGAGCATTTCAGCCGACTGGCGGACTAGCTCTTCGAGTTCTGAACCCTGCAGTGGCTCGTGATCCCTGTAAAGCAACTGACAATCGACGCTGTGAAGTGGAAAGGTTTTCAATTTGCTAGATCACGTTTGACGTAGACACTTTCCTCAACGTAGTCGGAGTTGGTGAAGGAATGATTATCAACTCCAGCGTGCGGGCGCACTTATGCCCGGCTTCCAGGTCAGAACCGAGTGTTCGAAGGCCCTTAAGGAATAACCTCAGGGCAAACCCATGCAGGAGGCATAAAAGCTTGTCGTTGCGGGCCAGTCGGAGAAGATCCCCATTACACCGACGTCTTTTGCAAGGACATCGACCACCTCGAGCATTCTTCCGTCTCCGTCGATCACGTCACCTATGGTCTGATAGTACCAGCCACCACCGGCATCAAGAGGCCCGGAGCGTTCAAGCGTCCACGTAATCAGGTCTAGTTCGGCAGCCTTTGCAGCTTTCGCGTAAGGAGAGGGCACGATCTTTCCGTCTTCCAGCGCAAGCAGAACAAAGAGCGGCGGCGCGAGATAATTCACGCCCATTTCCTTCAACTCCGCCATCGATGGTGAAAATGTCGACGGGTCCATGGGATTGAGATCACGCCGGCCGTCCAGATAGACAGCCTGCTTGCCGAATTCCGGTTCATTTTCAACCCAGTAGCGGACATCCTGAAGGTTGAAGGATTGCGGAAAGACGTCTTCTGCCGGTATGCCCGCTGCCTTGTAGTCATCGATCAGCATTTGGGCATAGTCGGATTGGGTGAAACCTTCATAGGGCATTGCAACTTTCGGCGCTTTCAGTTCCGGTGTGAACTTGACGCCGAGGTCCTTGAAGAGGGCAATTGACTCTGCGTGTGTCAGCAAGGTGCCGGTCAGGCCGTAAAGCTCGGTCCGCCAGGGAGCCGTTCCATTCAGATAGTCCTCGGCGCTCTGCGCGGTCTTGTCGGCGCTGTCCATCTTGCCGCGCAGGGACTTGAATTCGTCGAGCGTCAGATCGGACGTGCGGCATTCTGCCGTTGCCGGGTTGCCCCCGCTGGCCGGAGTGAAAGCCGACGTGCAGTTTGCAGCCAGGTCCGTTGCAAGAACATTTGTTGTCGTGTGAAGGTCGTTCTGGGAGTGGCGGCAAACCAGTTCCTTGTCCTTGGTGAAGGTTACATCGCATTCCAATATGCCGGCACCCATCAACGCACCTGCACGATAGCCTTCCTCGGTATGTTCGGGAAACTGAAGCGGTGCGCCTCGATGGCTGATGGAAAACAATGTGCGCTTTGTCGGTTGGCCGATGCAGCTTTTCAGTTTGTCCTTCAGATCGCTGTCTGCCATCTGACTGACCAGCCAGGCGGGACGCGGCCCCAGCTCGATTGTGTCTGCATGAAGTGCCGTTGGAAAAGCGATCAGGAAAGTACCGAAAACAATTGTCAGATGCCGCATTGGAGATCCGTATGATTTGTGGGATAGCGTTAGGTAGATAGGGCAGATCAGGCTGCTTGCCAGGAGATCCGAAGTTTTTCGGGGCCTCTCACAGACAGCCCGTGCTTGTATTTGACAGGTTCTTCGCACAGCTCGATCGTCTTGAACCGCTTCAACAGGGTCGAGAAAATGATATCCATGTCAAGCCGGGCCAGATGATTGCCCAGGCAGAAATGCGCGCCGCGCCCAAAAGCTATGTGCCAGTTGGGGGAACGCCCGACGTCGAACAGATCAGCGTCCGGAAACTGTTTGGGGTCCCTGTTGGCTGAACCATAAAGAACACCGAACTTCGTACCCCGTGGAAACAACTGGCCGGAGATCTCAACATCTTCCGTGCAGTAGCGGTGGAAGAAGGGCAGGGGAGATTCATAGCGGAACATCTCCTGGACGGCAGTTTTCATGAGACCGGGGTCCTCCCGCAGCCTTTGCATTTGAGTGGGGAACTTCAAAAGTGCATGCATGCCGCTCCCCAGAACGTCGATCGTTGACCCGTGGCCCGCCATCAGTATCAGCATCGCCGTTGAGAAGAATTCGTCGTGGTTCATGTGGCCCTGACGTTCCGCCTCGATCATCGTGGAGAGGAGGTCGTCACGCGGTTCCGTTTCCCGCTTTGCCTTTAGTTGAAGAAGATAGTGATAGAATTCTGTCGTGTTCCGTTCGGCAAGTTCCTTGCGCTCGTCGGAGCGGTCGATGTCGAAGAACTGGACGATGTTTTCTGACCAGACACGCAATTGCGGACAGTCCTCGTCGGGTACACCCAGAATGCGGCCAATAATGTGCCCGGGGACATGGGCGGCCAGATCCTCCACGAAATCGATGACCGGCCTGTCAGACAGGCCTTCTACAAGGTTTTCGACATAAGCCTGGATTTCACTGCGTAGCTTGTTGACCATCACGGGTGTGAACAGCTTGAAAACCTGCTTGCGCGGTCTGTCGTGGATTTCCCCGTCGCTGTCGAGCAGGGAAAATTGTACGAAGCGGGCATGATGCGGCATGTCGTGCCAATTGCCTGCCCGTTTCTGGATATCGATTTCTTCCGCGCTCGCAACTTGCTCCATGGAACGGACCATCTTGTCGTGCATGACGATTTGCGAAACGTCTTCGAACCGGGCTGCCAGCCAGACATCGAAATTTTCAAAATATGTCAGTCCCGGTTGCGCCCGCAATGCCGCGTAGAAGGGGTGCGGGTCTTGCGCGAATGAACCCGACAGGGGATTGAACGAAGGGGCTGTGGACTGGCTCATGAAGGGCTCGTTGCGGGACGTTGGTTCGTCTGGAATTGTGATTCCTGTCAGCGTCGAAGATTTACCGCGTCAAGCGCAAGGGGGACGGTGCGATAAATGGTCGGTTTCCTGCTTTTTTCTGCAATTTTCGAATTTTGGCTATGTTGAGTTGGGGATAGCGAGGAAAGGAGAAGAATGACGATACCCAAAGGAAACGGAAATCTCCGACGATGTCTTTAGGCGGCGCCGAGCGCTCCGCCGTGACGGAACGAACGGAGTCTACGAGGCGGGAATGCGGATACCAGAGGCTTACAGGAAGGAATACGAGATCTTTCTTCAGCAAACCGGGTTCGAAAATCCTGACCCGCAAAAACTGCTTATGGAACTTGCGTCCCTCAGCATGGAAGTCTACTTCAGGGAGATTGCCTGGCTGTCCGAATTCATTGGAAAAGTGAAACAGACAAGCGTTCGCGCCGCATAACGTTATTCGTTTTGGCTGTCACACTTGTTGCGGCTTCTGACACCTGACGGTTTGAAGCGAAGGTCTGAACCGGCTTGCTTTCACCAGTAATTTCCCAGCAACGTTAAAAAGAACGAACGATGCGAACCAGTTACACTGATTGGTCGGTTAACCGTTCCGCTCAAATACATCCAAATATACAATCAAATATAGTATATTACAGGTTGAGAAGGTTGTGTAAGGCACATTTTTCAATCTGCGCACTCACCGGCGGCCATTTGTTCAAACTTTAATTAAAATTTTACTGGAATTGGTGGGGTTCTGTTATCCAGTTAAGCTCCAATTTATGGTAAATTGTACGATTTTTTCTAGGCAAAATAACTGATAGCGAATAATAGTGATCGCGTGGTGCCTGGAATAGCCAAATCGCCGGATTGATAGGTTTCAGGAGTTAGGGTTTCGCCGGTGACCGGTAGGAAGATCATCCAGTTCATTTCTCACTGACCGCATCTATTCGGACTTTCGACGTGGCGTAATGGGGGGTTCCTTGGGACCTGAAGACGTTTCTATTTTGTTCAATGCGTATTCCGCCTGTCGAACCAGGCTCTATGCGCTTGGGTGTTCTGTCCGTGTGCTGCGCGACTTCCGTGAAGTGGTTCCGACGCTGGAAGCCTGCGGCAAGGATGTGACCCCGTTTTTTCAGACAAGGTTTTTTGATTTCAACGGCCACAACGGTTTCTGCCACGTCGCGTTTGCGGGCGAGGAACCTGTTTCCTTCTATTGCAGTCAGCTCTTTGACACAGGTGGTATGAACTACCTTGAATACCACCGCCTGCAACTGTCAAGGATCTACGGGGACGCGTATAAGGTCGACCATTCCTGGGTCTGCCCGCCGATGGAAGAGATCCAGGGCAAGGTCATATACTCAGGCGACGCGCTGAATGTATCGGGCTTCGGGTCGGCGAAAGTGTCGCTTGAACGGCTTGCACTCATTGCCAGGATGAACCTTTACCTTGGTCTGGCAACCTGGAAGGATGCCGCGGTTTGCGTGGGACTGGCGCGGGCCGACAGGGTTCGAAAATCGCTTGGAGATGTTTACGGCGCGTTTCACCGTTATCCTTATGCAACAAGATGGGTGAACCCGCCGGCCGACCGGAAGCAGGATGACATGTTCCTGTTCAATTGGCCGTCAGATGTGCTCTATCTAGCAAAAATAGATGCTCATGGAACTGGGCTGACGTTGGAAGAGTTAGATTGACCAGTACCGGTTGAGGCGTACCCAGCCAGAGCCGCTCAATCAGGCGGTAGTAGCTGACCGGGATATTCGTGAGTGCGCCTGGCGGTGTTTACAGTTTGGCTCGCTTCGCTCTGAAACATGCAGTGGTACTCTATCATGATGCTGGCAGCCTTGCAAAGGAAGCAGGGTTGAGATAACTTTGCAGCCGGGACCTGGGCCAAATGTTGATTACTTTGGACTGGCTGCTCTTGCACATAGGTCAGTGTTGCCCGGCCGTTGCAAATAATTGTGGTCGCCTGTTGCTTGTCCAAGCATTGTGCAGCCTCCTTCTTTCTCGCTCAGTGTTTAGCCACCTGGAAGCCATCAGCGTGTAACCGCTTTCAACGCAAGCTCCAAAAAGCAGTGCCAGGAGACTTGCCACAGTCGTGGCTTGCAAAGGCCTCGGTGGAGACGGTCAAGAAGTGAATGAGGCCGTGGTTCCAGGAGTACCACCTGAGACAAACACTCAGCTCAGCTGATTTGGCAGCTGAAATGATGCAAATGCAGGTCCTCTCCAAGCGGCCAATTGTTTGGCACAGTTCCGAACTCTGGCAAGGAGATGCTGCCGCTGTTGGATGGCATATTCCTGTGCACTGAAACCACTGCCGCAAGCTTGGTGGTAAGGGACCCTGCGCACAAAGTAAGATGAGAGTAAATTGGCGCACAAACAAGTCTTCCGCCCTCAACCCTACAACATTCATACGCAACATACGCTGAGCAATGAATTGGCAGCCATCGCGGTTAGCAAGCTGCTGAGAATCCAGCCAAAACAAAGGCTGCTGACAAGAGGCGCCACACAACATAATTGCTGAAGGAAATCTGAACCGCACCGGGGAGATCTGCAATGGCAGCAATAAAAAGGCAGCCTCATCAAACCCAGCAAACCCGATATGCCCAACGAGGCCGTCCTGAATCTCTGCGTGTAGTGGTTGAAGTTTTGACTTGCCTCGTGGTTGCCCATGCTCACCATGTAGGGAACTGTCGCTGCCAAAGGCTCGATGTCGCGCATCCAAGCGTCCCCGTTCCTCCAGACCCAGAAGACTTGCATGTGCAGACTTGCTCGAGGAAACTTGTACGAGCAAGTTCGAACGAGCAGACTTGCATGTGCGAAGCAATGTGATGCTCCGATGCTAGGCAAATTGATTGACCACCTGTTGCGCCTTTTTGGTTATCTGTGTACCAGTTTGCCTGCCACCTTTTTTCGCTGTGCTTGTGGGGTCAAAGGGCACTTCACCAATGAAAGAGATTTCATTAGCTTGCAGCCAGCATCACGCAAGGTGGTAGCTAGCTAGATCTAAAGTTGCTATCACCACATTCTGATCCTTTCGCATCGCCTCAACTCGCCAACTCGAGGCCAGTCCTGCCGTTGTCGCTGTCGAAGTCGTATGCCATGTCACCGACATGAAGGACCATATCCAACTCACCATTTCGTGCCGCCATCTGAAGCGAAGGCAGGGTCTGCCCATTGTAGTCGCCCTGGTCCCCAAAAACTGCATAGGTCATCGGCAGCGCAGCCTGAGGACAATGATTTGTGCATTGAGCTTCTGCTATCCAACCGCCCGCGCAACTCTGCAGCTCTTCTTGAACAGTTGCCTGCCTGAACGTCACTCCTGGAAACCGGCGCGCTCTTGAAGTGCATGGCTGCGGACCAGCCCGTCGCATTCCCTTAGCCATGGCCCACATTGCTCAAAGCTCAGCACAGCGCAGCACGTGCAACCAGGGCACCTCCAACAATGTAATAGTAAAGCCTGTTTGGAAGCAGGTCCGTCATGGTAGCAATGTGCATGGTGAAGTTTCTTCGCTCATCCCCATAGTCCTGAAAGAGAAAATGCGAGCCGGCTGCTGTCCTTGCAGGGGAACGAGCTGGTAAAGGCAAAGCAGCACCAACATGTCAAGAATCATTCAGAGGTGACACGAGCAAATCACTCAAATCAAGCCAAGCAGTTTGTACTTCTGGCCATCTGCTCCAAAGTAGATTATGCATGAAAGTGCCGCAGTGCGGAATATCACAGTAACAGTGGGTGTCCTGTTGAGCTCGTCCTTTGCCAAACCGTACATCACAAATGAGTCTCCGGGGCAGTATGGGCTCAACTTGCGAAGGAAGCTCTCCTGCAAAGCATGAAGCGAAAAAGGTGCGGCTGTCATCTGAAGGCGGAGTGCAAAAGTTGGATACGTTTGGGACCGGCAAGGGCATCAAATTTGCAAGCCTCCCTCTCTCCATGCCCATTTGCTCACATGTGCGCGAACTGCACTTGTGGAAAACAATTTGGGGCAAGCGGCTACTTTTTGAGGAGTTCGCGGTTTCGCGAAATCGCTCCACAACGTTTCCATGCAACTAGTTGTGCATCAAGCTTTCGGACAGTCACGTCACACAAGCTTTGAATTCGCCTGCTGTGTTGTATGTACAGGAAGGTGCGGTTGCTTTGCTTTGCACAGCCCTGACCTGGGGGCTTCTGCAATTCCAAAGGGTCTGCGCGGTGGTTGCCGAAACATCCCACGCACGCCTGCCACAGAAGCTGTGAGAAGGCAGTGACTTGGCAATTACGCAGTTCCCAGCTCGTGACAAAAGAGAAACCGAACGCAATCCAACAGAAGAACCTCCGAACAAGCGCAATTTGAACACCAAGCACATTGCTCCTTGGTTCGCTCCCTGCCGCGAGCAGCCTTTTCTGGCTTCGAGGCCGCTCAGCAGCAGCCACAAAAAGATCAACGCGTTATTCCCGCCGCTGCTGCACAGGCGCAGCAAGCTGTTCTCTTGGTGAACATCAGCGTAGACAATGGCCCAAGGACCATGGCCCTTTCCATATCCCGCACTGATCAGGCGGCTGCATGTACAAGTTTGTAATTAAAGCCCTCCCTACGAAACTGTTTACCACATGCAGAATCACCGGCCGAGTGCTCCTTGATAGCACAGGCTTGTGCTTGGAGTGCCCCTCGCCATGTGAAACATTTCACCCTGGAGGGCCTCTCCACAACTCCAACTTGCAATCATTAATGATATCGTTTTGGGGTTTCGCTAATATCGCTTTCCGCGACTCGGAGCAAATCCCACCATAATTACAAAAATTGCCGACATGTACTTTTCATCACAAATGTTGCCGACTTGCTGTTCATTCTCAGTCCTGAATAGTAGACCAGTGCACGGTCATCTCGCCTGGAGAAGACAAGCATTCCTCACGCGCAAGAATACGATATGCAAGAATGGTGCATGTTCTGCACTTAAATTAAAATGCAATGGTTGTCGTTCTTAAGATTGATCGCAAGCTGCAGGAAAGCTTAGAAAGCATGGTGACAGTCGTGGCTTCCACTGCCTGGAGCCAAGCCCAGGCCGATATGTATCTGCTCGGGCTGCTGGTAGGGAGTATCGCCCGCCGCCAAGTGCAGCAGTCCTTGAAAACTTGCGGTTGCACTTTGCGCAGTGCAAGCTCCTTCTTGCCGAGTTGCCCAGAAGTGCCCACATTGCGTTCGGATCCTGTGATGTAATGCTAGCGCTTGATATTTGCCCCTTGATGGGTGAAAGGCAGCTCAAAACAATGCACTGAATTGAATTGTGGTGAGTAGTGATCATGACCCAGCTTCGCATCGCAACTAAGCGGCATTCGCGGCTGCGACGTGGTTGGTCTGAAGCCAGCTAAACTGCATGAAGCCGTTTATGTTGCAAGTCGAGAGTTTGCCAGACTTTCTGACATCCCTAGCTTCAAGCATCTGTCAAACTCTTCATAGTCTAAGGGGCGGCTGACCTTCATGGAGGGTTGTGCGATGGTGCTGCCCTGCTCATTCACCGCTCGTTTGCCTCTTGCCCGCAAGAGATGACACGGCAACGCTGCAGGCCATCTTTTTTCGTTCTTGCTACATGCTCAGCCGACAGAGGGCATGTCCTGGGCGGCGAATGAATCAGCCTCTTGAAACAAATGGTGCGACGGCCCTATGTTTTTCAGCATGACCCATCGACTTCTCTAGTCAGGATGGACTAGAAGCGACTCCCTAAACATCCGCAAGGCAACAAACTGCTGGAGTTGTTAAGGTGCAGCTTCATGGTAGGTGACTTCCTTTGCCAAAACCCTGCCCTGCCCTGAGCCAAGGTAATTACCTGAGCCAGCCAGGGTCAACCCAAACATGGGGCATGTGGCTCGCGCGGCGGCCAGGAGCAAGCCAGTGCTTTTGAGAATCGAGGGGATTCGTCGATATGCCCGACAACAGTGGTTGCGTTGTCCTCCACGAAACTAGCAATATTCTCAATATCCTTAGAATCGCGGACCTCCCGCGAGCTCGATTGTTTTCTTTCACTGCCTCTCAATGTCAGTTGTGAGACGGGTCTTGAGCAACAAAGGCAATGCATGTGTGTAATGTCCTGCGGTACGCACCTACGGTTACAACCCTATTCACACCCCCCACACTGCGCGCTCCGTTTCTGGAACACCAGTGCGGGGGCTTTGAAATTGGGGGCAGGAATCTTCGTTCCCACAACGCGTTCGGTGCTTTCACACAGCACGCCGGCTCTCCCTCTCATATATAATTACTCGTTTTTGATCACAACTCTCGGGCCATAATTAAGATTCCCCAAGACTGTGAAACAGCAGTGCGCGAATTCCAGAGGCTTCTGGACATGACCATAGGAGCAAGGGTACTAGCGTTCCAATAGACGGTATGGCTTTCCCCGCATATGCGCCCAATGCCCGGCACGAGTACTGATGAAAAGAACACCCGAAAACAATGTGTCACCATGCAATGATCCATTCAGAATGATACAATACTATTGGTCCCAGTGTACCAGAACACGAGTGTGCAGGCCCTGTAGGTAAGAGCCATAGCGCATATAGCACGGAGTGTGGGGGCTCTGTAGGTTGCCTTGTCAGAGCCATGTTGCACACAGCACATATAGCAGTGCCCTCTTCGCCCACTCAACCCCGAAGGATCCGGCCGGTCCACAGCTTAGCCTTGGGGTTTCAGGGAGAACAACTCCCTAGCAGCGTGGTGTATGCGAAGGTTGCTCCCCGCACAATCGCACCAGGTGGTTGTAGGATGATACATGGGTGGAAGGCCCTAGGCGCTCATGGCGCCGATGGTCCTCTCACCAATTCTCGTCCCATCCGCGGTCTCGGACATCGGTGCGGTCCCGCGCATCCCGTCGCCAAGGAGGAGCGTAATTCTTCCCTTGGTGTCCTTTCCTTTGCCCCTCCTTTTGCGTTTGCCCTTGTTGCCCTTGCCCTTGCTTTTGCCCGCTGATCCGGAAGAGGGCTCAGCAGTTCGGTCAGTGGGGCTTGATGACCTGCGAGTCTCGGGTCGATCGCCCGTTCTGTTCCGCTCTGCCGAAGGAGGTCTAAGCACTCTAGGGGGTTGGCTTTGGTCCTCCCGCTGAGCCGATTGGAGTTCATCAGATTCAACCCACGCCTTTCTCTGAGTGTCCTTCCTTTTCTGTTTTGCCCCATAGTTCGGCTGGATTGTTGCTTCCCCGTCCGCTAGTGGGATTCTGGTCTGGATGGCGACGCCCTGCTCCTTCAATTTGTTGTAGTTCTTCCACCGTTCTTGGAGAACAGGGCTGAATGGCATTCCATGATTGTTCATCAGAAGAAGATCCTGTATGGCTGTCTTGTCGCCCATGGCGGCGCGGAGCCGATTGCAAGGAATACACTTTCCACCTTTGACTCCATATATGCTTGATTGAAAGAACGAATATTTCTCGACATTGAAGCACGTGCCAATGACCAGGTGGAACACGTCGAACATCTGGTCTAGCGTGTTGTTCCTTGTTGCTCGCAACTCCGAAGATTTGTAAGTCGTGACGGCGGCCTCTTTCAGATCCTTGAGGCTCTTCCACAACTTTTCTTTCCCGTACTTTTCTAAAAGGAACGGGTAGGTAGATCTTCGTGGAGAATAGCCCCATAATGTGAATCATGCTCTCATCTCGACGTACTCCGTATTCTGGAACGATCGTGGCAACTCTTCTGGATTGTACCCATCACGCGTCTCCTTCCAGACGTGCTTCCATTGCACAATTGTAATATCGACGGGTCGATATGGGCTGTCAGCTGGCAAGCATTTCGGGACGTGGTGGCAGAAAGTTTTTGATTTCCTCTTCATCGTCCGCCTCACGGTCTGGCCCCCAATATAAGTTGATGGCGTTGCGGTTCTTAGCCAGATGACCAGAGGTGGCCCCTTCCTGCCTGGAGGGCCCAGTCTGGCCTGCAGGTGTTTAATTAACACCTGCTGTTTTTGGAAACACCTGCAGCCACAACAAACAACTGCGAGGGCAAGAAGCACTTGCGAGCCAAACCTAAGAAACGCAGACGTTTGTTGCCCAAACCAAACAGCTTTACCCACACTGCAGACGTGTGTTGCCCAAACCTACCGGGGGTACATGCCAACGACAAAGTCATGCCTAAGTCACTCCTTTATCTCTGTGGCCATGTGTTCCCCCATGTAAACGCCGATTCCAAGAAGTCACTCCTAAGTCACGCCTCGGCAACAATCCCCATGAAACGCTTGACATCACCGAGCTGGCCACGCTAAAAAAAACACAGGTGCCAACGTTGAAACACACTGGAACGCTAATGATGGCAAAGCCTGTTTGAACATGCAAAACATTGGAACGCTAAGGATACGGTAACTTGTCGCGGGAGAGTTCAGTTTCAGGAAGAAATGGTCCTGGAGTTCTTTCTCCGGAACGCACACGCGCAATGCACCCAGGCAAAAAAAAAACGAAATCAAAACGAGATCAAGACGGGATCAAAAGGCAAGCGCGCCCGCTCATGCGCACCCGCTCAGCGCTGCACACGCCAGCCAAATGGTCACGCGCCTGCCAAAGCACACCCGCTCAGCCCTGCGCACACGCCAGCCAAATCCCAAGCACACCTGCTCAAGCGCAACCGCTCAGCCCTGCACACACGCCAGCTGTAGCAAGAGAAAAGGCATGTCTTAGAACATGCCTAAGCCATCCTAAACCCAACTGAATAACCATTCAACCGCAACGCCTCCCAAAAACCTATCCCTTCAAACGTACTAGTTCCTATGCGTTTTCGAAAACCCCCCAAGCGCTTTCCAATTCTTCCGCGCAAGCACCCATACCTGTCCTACAAATAGCAAAGGCCTGGCGCAAGCGCATAGCAAGATGCTGCCCATTTGGTCAAGAAGCAGGCATCCAAGCGCGCGCCTCAAGTTCAACGCGGCGCTATACTAATATCTTGCCGCGCATGGGCGCGCCTGACGCTCTACGCCAATGCGTTGCACGGCGCGCCCAAAGCAGATACGCCATTGGCCATGTTTCATCTTCCACTTTGAAAGCAGGAGCCAAAGAGTTCGCCACAGTTCAAGAGGGTTGGCTTGTTGCGTTGTTGTTCCAAGCTCGGGCTCGGTTTTCCAGCGCGGAAGAACAGGCAATCATAAAAGCGCTGCCTGCGTTTAGGCTATGGCTGGGTGTGACGGCTGGGGCGGGTAAAAAAATGTCTGACCAGGGACGGGACCGCGAGGGGCAAAACAAAGCAGCCAGCCAAGCATGTAACGCGTCGCGTCGGCCAGTTTGTTTGCTCACAGCACTGATCATGCGCTCAAGCCCCGCCATAGTCTTGCGAGACACATTGCGCAAGCATGCTGGTTCTGCAAGGAAGTGCAGTGAGACGCTCGTTGGCTGCCATCCGTGCCAATAAAAGTGGAAGTGTTTGCTTTGCTCTTGTGGCGATTGTGGCCAGCGGTCTGAAGTTCTGCAAGCCCTCCTTTGCATTTTGACCGTTTTGCAACGAAGGCCGTGAGCCTCTTCCCAATCTGTGTTGCATTTCGACACCTTCTTTTGCAAGACCGTTCCGTGCCTAGCGCGAGTGAAATGCAAAGCTGGAATTTGCGGTTTGGCCAGGATATGTGTCACGTACAGGTGTTTGCTCCCGGCCTCAGTTTGTCTATCTGTGTGCGCGCGCATGCGCTGCCATGAAGCATCCCGTAGCGCACCGTGCCGTTGCGTCCGTGTTACGCAGGCTCAACGTAAGATTGTGTAAGTACTATAGCTCATCTGCGTGCCCGGGCGCACACGTTTGCTTACGTGCGGGCATGCAGGGTATGTGCGTGTGTTTGCGCGCGTGCCCACGCGCGAGTGCTTGGCGTGAAACAAAGCCCGAGAGCCAACATACATTCAACCAACATGTTAATACAGCTGCGACACAGCCAATGTGACTGTGTTGCGTCCAAGTGTGCAGGCACACGCGCGTACACGCACCTGCACACAAGTAGACAATCTACACACACACACATACGCCTCAGGGCGCGCGCGCACACACGAACACAAACAAGCAAGCGCTAGCTGTTACAAACGTTAGGTAATTGAACGCGCGTGTGTTCCTGGTTTTCGCAAATAGTTGGCCTGTTCTCAATGTTTCGCTTTTCGCCAATCCTTGATGCCACTGATGCTCGATGATGTGGTCTTCGCGCTGCCGTACTCTCACTCACTCAGTCACTCAGTCACTCAGTCAGTCAGTCACTCACTCAGTTTTTTTGGTGACACCAATTGAAGCCAATGCTGTTGGCATGCATTGGCAGACAAGTGTCATAGTAGTTGTGGAAGATGCGCTCTCCAAGGTCGCCCCCTTTCAGCTCCTCCAGTTTCTCCTCGAACTGCTTGTAAACCTCGCTCTTTGCAAGGACCTCTTCACCCGCCTTGGGGTCCAACCCCAGGTTCTCCGTGTCCTGCCTCCTAGGCACGAGAGCACGTCCGGAGAAGCCAACTGGCCCGATACACATTGAGCAGGCAGAACAATTTGGGCTCAGTCTCGATGCAGGCATCAAACAGAGCTGGGCAGTCAAGGGCTAAGAGTGCACTTGCAGCTTGCAGGATCTGATTGAGGGCCCCTCTTGAAGGTGAAGTCAAAAGGTATCACCGGCGAGTGTGCGAAACGCGACACCGTTCAAAACCAAACCCCGGATGCAAAGCAAGCCGTCTTTGCCGACTAGCCCCACTTTTTGGGACTCCAATAGAATAGCCAGTCCTGCTTTCGAGTTAGAGCGGCACACATGCATGCTCGCCCTTTTGGCCGAAGCTCAGCCACATCCGCGTGATCTTGCCGCCCTTCTCCTCGTAGAGAACCACCAAGCGTTCCTCGCGCGGTTCGCGCACCCCCAGTCGGCCATCAGGAGGAGTCCCTGCCATGGCGGTGACGAGGCTCTCGTGGTCCTCGAAGTCCAGACAGTACCTTTCATGCAAGTTGAGTCGGATAACACCCATCTGAACATTGCACAGCACCTTCGTATGTATCTGGAACTTGTTCAAGAACAGTCGGTTAGCGGAGGTGTCTCTTGGATGGCCAGCGTCTAGAACCTAACTGACCCAACTTAGTTACTTGAGCGACCTAAACGCTGTGTGCATAAGCATCTGGGCAGCCTTCTAGCATGTCTAGCCTCAGCCAGGCTCTGCCAGTGGACAGACGACAACTGGAGAATTTGCAACTGAAAACAAACACATGAGACAGAGTCGAGAAATATGACAAGGCACGTTGGGCTTTTTGAGTCGAAATAGAAGCGCTTCAGGCACGTGCCGCGCAAGCCAGTACCAGACTCCCGGAAGACGCAAGCAAAGCGCTTCTGAAACATCTTCTTGTCCTTCGCACGCGATGCAATGGCAATTCCTGTTCGGGGGGCCGCCTTTTCGGAGAAGCCGTGTTGATAAGCACTTGTGCGATGCAAACGACCCAGTCAAACTGATATGGCTTTAAAGCCCCCGAGGAGAAGCCAGGGTGCACACAAAAGGTTCACACAAGAACACCAGGATTAAGCCCCTGCCACGGGCTAGTTAAAAAAAACCAGAGGACGATTGGCCCGAGTGCTCATCCAGCCGCGGAGACACCTTTTTACATCGCTGCGGCGAGCGTGTCTGCACGCGGCGATGCTCAATGTGTATGGTCACATGAGAGCTCCATCTCATCGTCCTACGAGAGGAAACATGGCAGTGCTCGATCCCACATATTTACATCCGTTAAAACAAGAAGAGTAAAGCTCGTAAAGCTCGAACGAATTACAAGCAAAAGGAAAAGCAATCAATAGCAAAGCTTACACGACGGCCACAGTTTTTGCAAAGCACGCTCGTGCAACTTAGCTCTGTGCAAGATGGCTCTGCGCAGCTTGGCTCTGTGAAAGTTGGCTCTATGCAAGCTACTTTTCGCGAGTGGCTCTGCGCAACTGGCTCTGTGCAAGTTGGCTCTGCACGAGCCTGCTCGGCGCAATGTGCTTTGCACGAACTGCGCCGCGCGATTTCTCACGAAAGTGGTCTGCGCAAGCTGCATTGTTCCAGGCTGCTGCGCGCAAGTTGCTCTCTGCAAGCTGCTGCACGCAAGTGCTCTGTGCAAGTTGCTCTGCGCAAGTGCTCTGAGCAAGTTGCTCTGCGCAAGTGCTCTGCAAGTAGTGGGAATGTACTTCGCGTACTATTTTTGTACTTATAAGTTGCGATTTTCCAGCCGGAGCTGCGGGAGTGTGCTCCGCGTACTACGTTTGTACTTAAAAGTTGCGATTTTCCAGCCGGAGCTGCGGGAGCACGCTCCGCATACTACGTCTGTACTTAAAAGTTGCGATTTTCTAGCCGGAGCTGCAGGAGCACGCTCCGCGTACTACGTTTGTACTTAAAAGCTGCGATTTTCAAGCCGGAGCTGCCGCGGACCAGGGGGGAATCGAACCCGCGACCCGAGACAACTTCCAAAGGCCATTTCGCGAGCAACAAAATCGCGCGGGCACCGCGGAAAAAAAAATAAAAAAAAAAAAAAAACGCAAAAAAAACCCTCGAGTTTTTGCACCTCCACCACGCCGGTCCCCGCGAAAAAAACGCAATAAACCACCTCGACAACGCCGATCTCCGCAGAGGGTCGCGCGGGCACCGCAAAAAACGCAAACAACCTCAAGTTTTTGCACCTCGACCACGCCGATCTCCGCAGAGGGTCTCGAGTTTCTGCACCTCGACCGCAGAGGGTTGCGCGGGCATATCAAAAAACGCAAAAAACCTCGAGTTTTTGCACCTCGACCATGCCGATCTCCGCAGAGGGTCGCGCGGGCAATCAAAAAACGCAAAAAACCTCGAGTTTTTGCACCTCGACCACGCCGATCCCCGCAGAGGGTCGCATTCCCGATCGTCGGCAACATCCCCACCCCCCGCCTTAAAAGAAATTCTTAATACCGAGCTCTTTCTCTTTCTTTCCCGCGCGTTAAGTACTTAACCTAACTTACTTTACCTAGCTTACACAGCTGCTGCCGCCGAGCCTCTACACCTAGCTTAGCTTAGCCTTGCTCTATGCACCTAGCTCTATGCACTTGGCTCTATGCACCTGGCTCGATGCACTTCACTCTTTGCACTTGGCTCTGTGCACTTAGCTCTGTGCACTTGGCTCCTTGCACCTCGCACTTTGCACTTCGCTCTGAGCACTTGGCTCTATGCGCTTGGCTCTTTGCACTTGGCTCTGGTGACTCTGCGCAAGTATCTCCATGCTGGTGACTCTGTGCAAGTATCTCCATGCTGGTATCTCCATGCTGGTGCCTCTGCGCAAGTATCTCCATGCTTGCAACTCTGTGCAAGCTACTCTGTGCTAGTAACTCTGCGCGAGTATCTCCATGCTGGTATCTCCATGCTGGTGACTCTGTGCAAGCTACTCTGCGCAAGTTGGCCAAGAGCTCCTGATATCTCCATGCTGGTGACTCTGTGCAAGCTACTCTGCGCAAGTTGACCAAGAGCTCCGCACGGAAGAACCCTTCGCAATGCTTTCGGGAAAAAAACGGATCCCTAGGCCGGGCATCTGCCAAAATCGTCGCGTGCAAGAGTAGCTGCAATTGAACAGCTGCAACGTACAGAATGTGCAAATCCCAAATCCCCGCTGGGAGCATACAGAACTCAACTTAAGACCGTTGGTCCTTGAGCACTACGCCTCCAGACTTCAAGTCAATGATCTGCACCCCATCCTGGGGTCACATGCAATTGTCGGTCCGAAACTGCATGCCTGCATGTGTGCAACGTCATGCTTCCTTCGACTGACTTTCAGCAGCGATCGTGGCTGGCAGTGCATTTCAGCACGGATTCCTTGCAAAAAAATCCCAAGACCTTAGAGACACCGAACCTAAGAAGCAAGCCCTGTGCCTAAGATTTTGTTCGGCCCCTTGGCCTGACTGTCTAAACACTTGCTCCCCCAAATGCCGAGTCAACCACTGCGAAGCAAGGTGGTGGCTGCTAACGTGAATGCCCTCAGCAAATACGTGAAGGGCACGCTTGCAAACATGATCACTTGACCTTTGCTTATGTTGCTCTTGTCGGTTGCGATGCATGATGTGGAGCATGCTCCAGTTCATGTATCATAAGTTGAAGATTTCCGCGCTGCAAATCGACACCCATGCTTAAGTAAGCATGGGGTATATGCTGGAGTTCAAATGTGACAAGTTTGGATGCATGTTCAATGTACGTCACTTCATTGTTGACTCGCAGGCCAAGGAACGTGGAAGGACTCCAGGAAGCGTTTAAGCTTTGCCTCCACCAAAGGCGAGCGCTTCTCTTTGGGAAGGTCGTTCGGAATGGGCTCGTTGTATGCCTCCATCTGCGCATTCGCCAGGAGTACCGCATTTGTGTCCGGCTCTGCCTCAGCCTCGGGCACGCTCTCTGCCTCTTTGGGCGCCTTCGGCTTTGGCTCATCCGACGTCTTTCCTAGCTTCTCACGCTTCTCTGGCTTCTCACGCTTCTGTGGCTTCTCTCGCTTGTCTTGTTTCTCTGGCTTCTTCGCCTTCTTCCTCAGTGATCGCACAACACAATTGAATGTAGAAGGCCGGAGCTATGACTTATTGTTGCCGTTCGTATGACATCCCTCGCAAATACACATGACTGTTTGCCTCTCGTTTTGTAGCAGCAATATGGCTGGTTCAAAGCATTGGGTGCGAAAGGTGGTGAAGGAATGCCAAGACTGCAAGACAAATATGCACGTGTAGAAACCTTGGTTAAATGGGAACAAAACAGTCTCAAGAACCAGACTTGAGTTGCATGGCTAGAAGGGGATGGGTGGGCGTATTATCTTTTGAGCCGAACCGCAGCTTTACCGTTACAGCCATTCAGCCTGGGCTCTCTTCCTTGGGCTTTTCCTTTGCCTTCACCGGTGTCGCCTTCTCCGTCTTTCCCTTTGGCTTTCGCAGATGCCGCAAGAGACGTTTGCGCAGCTCTCGGTTCTCCACCTTTAGCACCTCATAGTCCACCTGCGCAGTTCGACCCTTCGGGGCCCTGGAGCTCAAGGCGGCGTTTTGAACGTGCGCTGCGACCCATTTTTGCGCTCAGAAAAAGACGACATGGAAAGCGGTCGCATGGTGATGCATGCCGCTGTTGTTGCCCAAATGCACAAAGGAAAGCCAACTCGGAAAAGTGCCTTTGTCTGGAAGACCTGCACCCCGTAAAGCATCCCAACTCCGGAAAGTCGCCTGCAACAGCGTCAGCTGGCCCTCTGCAGAAAGCTCCTGCTCCCTGCTCGGGCTCCGTGAGCGCTTGCCCATGGGACCGGTGAGAGTACGACACGAACTGACAAGCAAACATTTGACCGGTCTGTTCTGGGGCATGTCCTGCTGCAGGCTTAGGGCTAGGGTTGGTTGATGTGGGTTGCAGGCTGAGGTTTCTTTTTCGACTGCACTTTCCGGAAGCACCTGCTTGCTATTTGCATTGCCGGTGAGGAGCAGGTGATGCCCATCACTTGAGTGTAGTGATCTCGTCCACCTCTGGTCCGAACCAAGCAGCTGCAAGATTTCGGTGGGGCCTTTGAGGAAGATGGTGCAGCGGTTCTTAGGGCAAACAAGGCGCAATGGCTCATGCAACGAAGCCCCCAGTCTCACATCCATACCCCTCTTCAGCACGATTCGAAAGCAGAAACGGAACTGCCATGAAACTGAAAAGCATAGAACGCAGAATGAGATTGCACAAATCATTCTAGACAAGCATTTGCGTCAGGCATAGATATATTGTAGACCTGCTGCTTTCAACGTTCACTACCCAGCACACCGTGGGATAAAGTGGCTGTCATCATATAGCTGTCCATATGATGACACATGCCAACAAGTTCTGATTGCCTAAGTCTGCAGGTTCTGGTTTGCTATTAAATGGGCAAAACCCTTGCCGCTTCGTGTTGGGATCGGCGATGTGCTCTTGCAATTCCGCATGCGAGCATCTACAAGCACATCAAGCTTAGATTGAGCAGACCATTCTTCAACCAACCTTCAGCCTGGCACCTACTTTTCTCCGAAGGTCAGACATCACGCATCTTATCCCATCATCTAATCTGACTGCGCGGACTCATGGCAGCAAGCCACGTGATGCCGCATACCAGCAGGTAAATCAAGTAACCGCTGCTTACAGGCCCTTGAGCAGCACATTGGGGATTGGAGAATGGCTCCAGCCTCAGTTTTCGCCAGTGGACAGCACTACAATGGTCAGCAGCACCATAACCAGGAAAATGCCGCCCACAGCCGTATATAGCCTCAGATGGGAGACCGCGCAAGCTAAACGGAACTAATGATCTGGTTGAACTAAACGATTGGCTTTTCGCCGGTACACTGATTGCAACATATCAAGCTTCTCTGGACAACAAACACAACACATAGACATACACACACACACTCACACACACACACGCATAGATTACCACAAATCCAATTTGGTTCGAGGGCCTCCTTGAAACGGAGGAGAGTCAACATGTGCATCCTGTCCCATAGGAGCCTCTGCCCACACCCAACAGTACCGTCCCCCTTTCCTTAGCCAGTGGCGAGCCGGCGCCATCTTCGCCCAAGTCTGCGCCCATCCTTGGCCAAGCGGTGGCTCTTGCAAACAAGCTAACCAAGTTTACCAAGGGTTCCATGGTCAAAGCTGGTTGTTTTCCATAGAACTGCACAGACTCACCCTCTGATTACTGCAGTCTGGGTGCTGGCCCACTGGGGTATCTCGCAACATTTCTCGTGCTTGACGGCGCTCTTCTTCAGTTGGCACTGCCCGTAGGGGCAAACCTTCGGGCAATGGGTTGCAACCTCCTTAAGATATTGGTCACGTGTCGGCTTTTCGGGAAAATGTGTTGCTCGATCTTGAGTACGCTTTCACGAGGGGCGGCTTTCGGCCAAAAAAGCTAGTAAGGGCTTTACCTGCCTTACCTCCAACATCCTCGCAGAAAACACTTCTGGAAAAAGAACTGGGCACTTGGGTCCCCAGAAGTTGGAGTGGCGCCGTGGTGCGTGGTGCCGCTAAGAACTGCGTGCCAGCAGCAAGCCATCCAGACTCACCTTCTTCGTGATCTCACCAAACCACAAACACAATGAACATGCAAAAGGTCAGCAAACGCTATCAGACTTAGTATGCCTGTAGCAAACACTGGCACCAGCACGGGTACGGTACTGTAGCTGGCAACAAAAACTCCCGTCCAGCCTTTTGCGCGACCTTCACGCAGCCTCAGGGGGTACACTTCAGCGCAATCATGTGCAAGCAATGCCAAGCGCCGCATGCTACTGACTCGAGCTCATGATGGCGTGCCCTAAGGGAAAACATCAGAAACAAACACTTCGATGCCAAGTAACGCATTCCAGACTGACAGACTATCCAATTCACCAAGATGCCTGGGAGATGGAAACAATGACTCTGGAGACGACACGAAGAGACTGCCGCCTGATCCAGGGGCAAAGTTTGTGCTTGAAATTGCATGAAGCCGCCATCATCCTTTTCCAAATTGCTGCTGGGTGCTGGGAACCCATTACAAACTCCACAGAAGACAAAAGCCACACTTACAACTCGATAAGCAAAAGCCGAGTATGAACATGCCGAACACTGCGCATCGCCTGCGAAAGCCGCAGCCAAGATCAACAGCATGCTTCTCCTCCTGCGATGCAATGAGCCTCTGCTTCCCATGCCTCTCCAAACGCTCATGACAAATCAAGCTCGTACATGTGACGCTTGATGCTTGAACAGGGATGCGCAAGAGGCAAACTGTGTTGCCGTCAACATGCTGTGGTTTGAAGGAACGCCCAATCATATGACATGTGCAAAGGCCAAACCCCCTTCCTTTCATGTTCGACTCTAAAAACTGGCCTGGCGGTTTTGGCGGTTGCCCTGCAACCTTCCATGGCGTTGCTCCGGGATGCGCAAAGAAACAAGCGTGCTCAGCATTGCCCTCGCCAGCTGATTGGCATCTGGTATGTGCAGTGCATCTCGCAGTCACTGATCTCAGATCTGCGTCGGCGAGCAAAATGGCCCAACATTCTGCTGCTCGCAAAGGCGAGGGTCTGCGTTGAAGAAGGGCTGGATTGTCGCTCGAGCTTGGCAGATGCGGTAAGTCGGTGTAGTCGCCCTACCCTCTAGCAGGAAGCAGGGCTTCAAACCAAGGCAAAGGAAGCCTTGCGACTCAGCTCCACAAAATCCGCGCAAACGCAATTCCTGAGACTCAAATAGACCCAATACAGCAACATTCCTCAGGATAGAACATTCAACAGTTAAATTCCCTGCTGGTACACGACATTGTGACTGGCCTGCCGAAACCTGTGCTTCACGAGGCTACTTGATGCGCTTTGCCTGAGAGATGACAAACACACTGACGTCTGCCGTAGAATATGCAATCAATCTAGGCCCCTCCTGCAGCGTTCTTTTGGCACGCGGCTGTGCTTTGGCATCCAAGCATCTGAAATCTGGCTACGCGATATGTGTACAAAGTGCACAGACGGGTCTAAAGCGATCTGAGCGACCACTGTTCTGCACATTGAGGGCTGTCAAAGGCATGTATCCAGCTAAACTTTGACTGTCACCGTCTACCACCTGCAGAAGCTTGATAATTTTATTGCGATGATGTCCACTCCCCTCCAACGATCAAACTCCGTTGCAACCCTTTGTGCGGCGGAAGCTTCTCACAGGTTCAGGAGCCAATCCAGCCTGATCAGCATGAAAGGCACGAACTGCCCGGCCGCGTTGCTTCTCCCTTTTTCAAGCAACCCGAGCAGAAACTACTTGGCGAAGTCCAGCTTGTTGCTCTGAGCTGCGTGCCTTGGAACTTGGAGTTGCTGCGCACCACGAAAGTTGGACCGCCCGCCTTGCCGGACTGTGGGACATGCTTCGGCTGTGACATGGCACGCCATGGCTTGCTAAAAAGCGGCCGGGATGGTCTGGGCAGGGTGGCCGTGCCCTAGCATTCTACCCAGCCCACTCCGTGGCTTGCCTGCATTCATCCCTGCATTCTAGAAGACAAATCGCTGCATTCTATCCACACCCGGACCCTGCCCCCTCACATCCCCTCACCTTCTCAAGGGGGATCACGTCACCTTTGGACGTGAGGAGGTGCTCCAGGTCCCGCGGCTCGAAGCTCACCAAGCGGCTGGGGATGCCCTCGTTGCCTGAGACCGGAACCCAAGTGGAGAGATGTGGAGAGGTAAGAATTTGGTCAGAAGCTCAGTTTCAGGTTGCGGGAGCTCGGCAACCCGCCTCTTCTGCAAACTTTTCGCGCGACAAAAAAGCAAGCCTACATAGAATCGACATGTTCAGAGCTGTCTCAAGCTTGTCAGTCAGCAAGCACGCGCAACATGCTACAATATACTTGTTGCCCATTCAAGAACTGTTGTTTTGCAAAACAAGGGCAACCTGGCAGCATACCAAGCTCTCAGCATGTTGCCAAGGTGGAAACACGGATGCCTGTTTGGGTTAGGACCCCCATGCAGGTCAGATCAGTTTTCGGCAGTGTGGGCATGTCTGGGCATCGGACGCATCTGCTCCTCTACTATCTCCTTGCACGCAGTGCTCACCTTGCAGCGCATAGCAGCCAACACCCAATTGTACATTGCGCTCATCCCAATCAGCTCCCCCTCTGGCACCTGCACGCAGCCTTCCGGAGCTGTGGATTCCAGCACCTGCAGAGCTTCGCTCAAGCAACTGACTCAACTAGAGAACTCCCAAAAGAACAATCGATCAGAATGCGCGCCCCTGGTGTCACCTGACGAATGCATCATCCCTCCTTGCAAATGTCGGCCTCCAGGGCAGACATGAGCTCGCCAAAGAGATGATACCTGACCATGTGCGGCTTGTTTTCCGACTGACTGACTAACTGACTGACCGACTGACTGACGGGCTGCCTGCCTGTCTCCCTGCCTGCTTGGATGGCAGACTGACATTCCGTGCCAGGATTTGAATACGACGAGAACTTGGGCATCAAAGCAAGCCCAAAATCAAGACTCAAACTTGAATACCCAGCCTTTGCATCTCCGTACCCACAATGCCACCGATGCATGCCTGGCACGCATATCTGGAAAGCATTTGTCCAGACCATGAATGCGCACCACATGAAAGAATCGCAAAACCAACCAACCAAACAACCAAACCAAACAAACCAACGCGCACACACACACACACACAAAGCATCGCCCGCATGAGCACTCCTGGACATTGACCAACTCGCTCATATTCTTCTTACATGCGAATCCCACACATGAAGCTTGAGGCCCACAAGATTTAGCATTGAACCTGTCTGTACGGTTTGCAAAGGAGCTGATGCTCATTTGCCTTTCCCTACTAGGTGTGGTGGGTAAGGCGTTTATTAACCTACTTGGGCAGTCAGTTCATCAAATTCATCAAAGCACTGTGCAATGCAGTCATCGGTCGTGCCAGATGGGCCCCGTGTGCAATACCAACTCGGCAGCTCACGCTCCAACCTGTCAGCGGCAGGACACGTATGCAAATCCAGCGGGTCAAAACAGAAGGGGATATGATGATATGATGCAGATAGATATATATATATATATATGTATACAAGTTATACAAGAGAAAAACAATTGGTGACCGGTGTGCTTTCCATGTGCTTTTAGAACCATTCTCATTTCTCGTGCTTCCTGTCGGCAATCAGCTGGCATGCCCATCACGCAAGCTGGCTCCCAGCCTTTGTCTGCCGCCCAGCTATGAACCTCGCTCACCTGGGGGAAGCCATTTGCGGGCCTCTGTGCTGCCCGCACCGTCTGGCCAACCCTCAATACCCACACCGGAACATTCCTTACGTGGGAGAAAAGCCATGATTCGAGCAAGCATTTTGACACACGCACGTCTGCCAGTCCCTCATAGCAACATCCAAGCAAGTTGAAAAGCTTGGGACTTTCGGCTTCCTGTGAGTTCTGGGCTTTCATGTAGGGCATATATTGTGGGTCACTTTGCTTAGTTGACACGCTTTGCTTCTCAAGGCTTGAGCCGACCTATCGACGTCCTTGCACTGGCACTGATCATGCCTTGCCTTTAACTCCTTCACAACAGCCGTGTAATAGTTAGAGGGGATCTGCACAAGAGTTGGGAGTGGGATCCTCACAGCAGTCACGCATGAGCCTTCATGCTCACACAAGAGTCACGCGCGCGCGCGCTTGCATGCCTGAAGGTTCCTCCATATTTTACAGTTCCGATGCTAACGCATGCTGGTTGCTCTCTTGCTTCACCCGGGCCCCGAGCCATCTCTAGTCCGAAAAGGACCACCTCGGAGCATGGTCTGGATGAAATTGGATGGGCAGAAGGGAGGGTCCTAAATAACTCTTCACACATGCGCAATTGATCCGCATTGATTTGAAGCAACTTTCCACGGATGCAGGCAGCCTGCTCGACAAGGCTGAACAAATTGCGAGTCACCAAGCCAGCTGCGCTCACAGGGTGGTTCTTCTGCGTCAACGGTGGGTCTGCCTAGCACTCAGCGGGAAAGCGGTCAAACACCCACACTGATCTGCCTCTTGCCTGGGGATGTTAGGGTTCATGGACAAAGCCAAGTGATGCCAACTGGGAGTTTTCGGCGAGATCTCTAATGGGCACCAAAGCAAAAGCAACCAACGACAGTATTTGTGACCGCCGTTAACTTGATCGGCCCCCATTGACTCCGCAATGGGCGCCCCATCTTCAAACAAGCCCGTAGGAGGCCGACTTGGGCTACTTGGATGCCCTGGTTGCCGATGCTCGGCCTCCCGCCTGTCCCGCGATGTATGCATCGCCCACGGTCTCAACCTTGTACACCTTGCAAGCTTGAACCCTTGCCCAACCCTGCATATCATAAAATCATTACCTGCCAGCACATGCCAGCACCGCTGCCTGCACACAAACAATCAACCAACAGTTGGTCGCCTACGATTCACTGAAGAACTCTTTCCAAGCGTGAAGCAGAACTCACATCCTAGCCCACGCATGGCTGGCGCCATTCTGACTCCCGACATGTTACTCCCGGCGATGCCCGCCTGATGCTTGTCTGTCAGTGCCTGCCAGGCACGCAGGCCAGCCGGCGGAAGCAACGGAATGGCAAGATTGGCGGGCGGTAGCAGCAGCATCGGATTGTCACAAAAAAGTTTGCAGCCGAGCAGCATCGAAGTTGCCAAACAGCTCCTTGCTGTGCAAACAGGCCAGCAGTGAATTTAGCAACAAAGTAAATAAGTAGCAAGTGAGCCCTCTGGGTGCCAAGATTTGTTCTCGCAATTTCTCGCATTCTGAACTTCCGAGCGTCGCCGATGAACTGCACCACCTCCTTGGGGCTTCGAGTGCTTGCCTCGGTATGGGGGGAGAGACCGCTGGCGAACAGGGAGGACATCCCCGAAACGACCGTGCTTGAGCCTGATAGCATCTTCGCTAAAAACAACAGCCCCGGTCCCGGTGAGTGCTGCACTAAAAAAAACGGGCTGCGGCCTTTTTTTGGGAGAGGCCAACTCTCGCATTGACAGGAAGCCAACTACCCAAGTGAATCTTGCAGGTGCCTGTTTTTGAACATGGAAGCTCTGTTTGCCCTCCATCTTCAAGGGGCTGCCAGGCTACAGCCCAAAGCGGGCTCCTCTCAATTCTTCTCATGTTGTGGCACACGACCTCCATCAAGCCTTCTACAAGCACTTGCTGATGCAGCCCAAGGCCGTTCTGACCATTGAGACCTGCCGCCTTCCCGCTAAGGCTCATGCAAGCTTCGTAAAGCCGCACAAGTCGGATTGGGCAATGGTCGCTTTCTTGTACCTTGGTTTCCAGTGCCGCTGTGTGACCTGGTTCCTTCTCCCCCTAGGCAAGTTGCTTGCAGTTGTAGGCGCCAATGACAAAACGCATGCAAAGATCCGTCTGCCCTTTGGAGCCTTCCCAGCCCACCCTTCCAAAGTGGCAAATGGGTGTCTCGGCATTCTTAACCTTGTCATCAGTATTTGTCCAGTATCGGTTGCTGGGGCTCCGAGCTTGTGGGACGGTAGCACTGCATGCAGCGGGAGGCAGCGCATCTCCTGCAGAGAAGCCAGCCAAAGCTTTTCTTTGCGAGGCGAAGATTCGCTATTGAGATTGCAGGACAGGAAACTTGCAAGGTTCTGCTTGGTGCCAGGCCTCAACGCAAAAACCGAGCCAAGCAGCGCAAAGCCCCTGGTAAAGAACTTGGAGCCAACAGAAAGAATGTAAGCGTGTTATAATGATGCTTCCGCTCGAGGCTTCGCCACTTTATAGTCAAAGAGTTGCAAACGCAAACAAGACTTAACAAATGCTTGGCTAGGCAGCTTGTTTTGTTGTCATGCGCAGGCGCATTGCTACATGTACACTGGCATGGATCCCAGCTGAGTCTCAAAGGAGACAGACTGGGATTCAGGCTGGGAAAGTGAGAGGCATTGATCCAGGGTCGTCCTGGGGTAGCTTTCTGGCCCCCTAGCCCTTTCCCTGGAACATCAGCAGCGGTCAAGTGCTGAGCACGTGAACCAACAAACGAGGGGAGACGGCATTTTGCCGCCGAGCTCCCAGGCTGACTCATCAAATTCTTGGGGCAGCCTGCAAGGAAGACCAGCGGGAACTGCTGCCAGCGTGCAGTTCCATGCGGCATAGCATCAGTATACCAACAATGTAGCTGCGCAAAAAGAGGTGTGACATTGTATTATTACTGCTTCAAATGGCGTGGTTTTGCTTGAACTCCCTTGAACAACTACGTTCAGACTGGTGCACGGGCAGCGCTCAGAACATTCGCCCGTTAGGCCTAATTATCCTTGTGCAAGAACCTGAGCACATGACATGCACTCACATGCGCTCATGCCATAACAGCTGACATGCCCGACAGTGCAAAACCCGCATGCAAAGGTATGCCCTTCTCCCTTCAATTCTTCCCTTTCCTGTGGGCCTGCCTGAATCTCCCGAAGGTTTGAACTCACGATAACCCACGACAATTCCTACCCGCGGAAAGGCAAGCAACCTAACTTTGTTTTCTACGGCGCGAGCACTATCAATCATTTCCGAACAGCAATGCAGGAATCGGAGGTGCAAGAGTGCAGGTCCAAAATTACCCAGCAACGGCTCGAACACCTGCCGAGAGGCTGCGATCTTGCTGCCAGTGGGTGACAGCGCTTGCGGGTAGCTGGGTGACTGCGGCGAGATTGGCATGGCCGTGGCGCAGGGTAGTGGCACAGCTGCCTGCGCAGCCTTGAAGCGGCCAGTAGCCTGAACGGGTGCACATGCAGTCTCTGAAAGGGGACGTGGGCAAGTCTTGCTGAATTGAGACTGCAAATGAGGTGCTTCAAGGCAACCTCTTACATCCAATTGTGGATCACAGAAATGGCTCTGAGATGGGAAACAACCCAAAGCTGCAAGGCCCCCAACCCCACTGAGCCCCATGGTTACCTTGAAGTTTCTGATTTCTGATCTATGTTTGACTCCTTCGACCTGACCGTGGCAACTCAGCAACTCATCGAAAGCTGATCATGTGCACAATCCACCTGATCTCCCCCCATGCCAACTCAACGCCCGGCTAGCTGAAGGCTCTCTCTGCATGCCTTCAAATGTAGCTCCTCGGCTTCGGCCTTCGCTGCCTGACGTTGCCACGCGTTTGATTCATCGCCGCGACAAAACTCGACATCCCAACCTGTGATTCGGGCACGAGCCTGTGCCCAGGCAATGGGTAAGTTGGGGTAAACAAGCCACAAAAGAAAGGTTCCCCAAAAGCAAACCAATCCCCGGTCCCAAAGATCAGGGTTTCCCACACACCAGAGAACAACAACCAAAAGGGAACAAACCAAACAAGAAAAGGGTTAACCCGCAACCTTGGTCGACAACAGGCCGCACGACTGGTCCCTACCAACCTGGCGGCGGCCCGAGGTCTCTTTCTCCCCCGAGATGCCGTCGGTCGACGCAGGGGTTCGGCGACGCCCATTCGAGGCGCGACGGAACCCAAAACTTGAGCCAAAACACCACAGGTCGGTCACTAACGCGACGTCCCTGATGATGATATTAACCATGGCTAATCACACCCCCCTCACGAGGAGCCCGTCATATGACGGGTGGAGCGTGCCATTTACTGATAGGATTTAACTGCTCGCATGTGTCCGCAAACAGCTGGACACTACCGCCGTCAGCGGTGGAGCAAACCCACAAAGGCAGTTGCGCGACATCCCGGGCATTAAATTCCCGCCACCACCCCGAATTAATCGGGGTAACGCTGTCCAACACACCTTGTGGAAAAGTCCACATGACGACACTAGGTCACAACTGTTTGCATCAACAATGCAAGAAGTTTAATTCTTATCAGAAGCCATGAAAAGAAAGATAGCGTATGTCCAATGGTATCCTTGCCTAACGGCAAGAGATACCCCTTGACCATGCGTACCTGAAAAATGCTTGAATTCCGCAAACCCGGGAGTAACCCCCCATCAGTTTGCTTTCCCTCTCACTCATACTGCTTCCGGATGAGCACGTCCAGCAGCTCAGCAGCGGTACGGGAGAGACATGACCTCCGCGCCTCAGCGGTCCGGGAGGAACATCACCACCTCCACACCGCGCCGACCATTGGAGAATAGACGCAAGCCTATCGGCCGCAATCCCCGTGACTCAGCCTACCGGCTATCGTCACGTCTCCTCCGGTCACGCCCGCCCCGCGCACGGTCCCTGTCACGATCCCTTTCGGATCTCCTGCGATCATCTCGCCTTCGATCTCGCTCCCGATCGAGTGAATCATCATCACGACGATCACGAGCATCGTCCCTCCTCCTGTCGCGATCATCCTCGCGCCGCGGACGGTATCTGCGCCTCCTCGACTCTCTGGAATCCCTGGTGTCCACGGTCCTAACGGACCTCCGAGAAGGAGTACGGGAAACATCCGATTCCCTACGCCTCCTCCCAGATTGAGAGTTCGTCACGATCTGGTTGAGAGCCTCCAGTGCCGACGCGTCCTCACCATTCCTGATGAAATCCCTAACCTGCTTGTTCAGCACTCTGTTGGTGGAGATCGTCAAGAAAGCGTCCACCACCGAACTCTCAGGCAGCACCAGGAAGTGACCCTCCACCGGGCTCGCCGCGGCCCGCTCAGCAGACTGCAGCCGGATCTCCCCGCCTTCAGGCTTCTTTGCCATCGCCTTGGAGGCCGTCAAAGGCGCTACCGCATCCTTTGCCGAAGATCTGCCAAGCGCGGAGTGAAGATCATCCCCGCTAGCTTCTCTCGCTGCCGCACCTGGTCTGCTGTCGACGTCGCCAGGCCTCGTGGACGCCTCCCGCTTTGTCGACTCCTTCGCAGCCTCGTCGGGATCCCAACGGGATTTCCTTTCTCTCTTCTGTCCTTCGGCCGACCCGCGGCTACCGCCGGGAGCGTCACCTCCTCCTGTCTTCTCCTTCTTGACCTCAACCTTCGGTTCGGCCTGCTTCGTCTCCTTAGCCACAGCTTTTGGAGCCGGGGCACCCTTCGCCTCAGAAGCTGAAGCGGCCTTCCCCCTCGGCTCGGCCTTAGGGATCGGGGTCATTTTAGCCTTGGCACTCGGCCTGGCTCCTTCAACCACCATCTCGGCCCAAGACTTCTTCGGCTGAGCTGCCGCTGTATCTACCTCCATCGGAGCAGGTCCAGCATCGTCCTTCGCCTTTGGGACAGATGGGCTACCGCCCTTACCAGATCCTTTACCTGGCACATCACCTGATTTCGGTGGTGGGCCGGAAGGACTACCGCCCTTACCGCCCTTTTCCCCTTTCTTCCCTTTTCCTTTTCCGCCCTTGGGGACCGGCTCTTGCTTGGGACCAGGACCCGGCGCAGCATGATGCACCGATTGGAGTCCCTCGATGTCCACGTTCAAAGGTTCGGGTTGACGACCGTCAAGAACCGTCCTCACCCTTTCGTCACTAACGTAGACGAACGGGTCACGGAAGGGTGCGGGAGGCTCCGACTGTCCGGCGCTGATCGCCTTCTGCACCTTGGCTATCGCCTCCTTCAACCTCTTCTTCTCATCGTACCCCGTCTCCGATACCATGTACTTCCTGAGCTGCGAAATCAACGCATGACTCTCCAGGATGTCCACGTCCTTTCGATGGGTCGGGTACAATGGGGTCAGATGACCAGCCGCAGAACCAATCACGTATGCCATCGGAATATAGAATGACAAGTACGTGTCATGACGAGCGAACTTCCTAACGGAAGTCGTCATACGCCTACCCCACTGAGCAGCGTGTCTTGGGTTGGCCCGGAAGTACTCCGTGACCGACTCAAATCTATCGACTTGGTTGGTCTTGATCAGGTGCTTCGCCACCCACTTCTCCACAAACGCATCCGAGGCCGAAATCCCGGACACATAGGAGAATTGGAATAGCACCTTCGCCAGCTCATCCCACGCCGCATCGACACCTCCCTTGTCTTCACCAAGATAAGGGGGAAGTCTGATGCCGCTCTGCACCGTCATCCTTAGATCGGATGCCATTGAATAGGAAATCAAATTCCTCTTGATGACTCCGACCACTTCGGAGGGAATCCTCCTGGGCTTGAACTGCCCCATTGTCCTCACCCACTCCGGCACGATGTGGCACGTTTCGAAGTCCTTTTCCTCCGCGTTGGGGATAAAGTTCGGGTAAAAGACCGGGAGCGCGCACCCGGGACACAAGTGCATCCCATTCGGCATCAATTCTGCGCACCTCAAGCAGAACGTGGCAGTCACATTCAGCCTGATCTCTTCCCGTGATCGCTTGTGCTCTCCCCTAACGGGGGTGAAGTCACCGTAGTCCCATGCCCGATGGTACACTATCGTGTAATCATCGTACATATACGCCGCCTTCCAAGCCCCCATGTGGATCTCGTTCCTAACGGCAAGAGTCTTCCTTCTCGTCAAAAACACGGGTCCAACCAAGGACCAGTGCACCCGAAGATCCACCATTACCACCACGTACCTACCGGAGTAGTTCCGCAGCCTGTCCCTGACATACCACGAAGGCGATACCTCAGCATCCGGCGCCATGGCTCCCACAAGTGGGATCAGGCCCTCATCCTGCCTACCATCCCCAATGGTCTCGTACACATCGGGCCTCGTGATCAATATCTCGATCATGGCCTTTCCATTTCGCCTCACCCTTTGGAGCTGAACCGCCTTCCGAAAGTCCGAGAACTTCATGATGACGTATCCCACCATGGGGAGTTCATTCCAATGCATCTCATACATCAGAGATCCGCCAGGTGCATCTTCCTGAGTATACCTGTGCCTAACGGCACTGTAACTCAAGTCGCGTCCGATCCGCGTGTGCCTAACGGCAACCAACCTGGTGCTCTCCTTGAGGAGAACGCCATCCCCGTCGTACATGACCATGAGCATCGCCTCCACTTGCCCTATCGGGAAAGCTTTAAGCGTCGGAATGAAGAACTTCCAAGACATCTCAGCGTTCTCCATACCCGAAATCTCCTTCAGGAACCAGATGGCCTGGTCACTTTTCACCCAGTTTCCAGCCTCGCGTCCGGTCTCCTTCAGCACACGTTCCTCGAATAACTCCGAGACTCTCTTTGAATTGATGACCAAGCCGTCGAAATCGCACGAGAGCAGTCTCATCAACTCCTTCGCCGCCTCCCGTCCTGCAACAGTGCCCACGGTCTCCTCGTAGTTCGGGAGGTATTCACCCAACCTCGTCTTCGAGGGAACCACAATCTGGCAAGTGACGGCCTCATCAGGGATAACTCCCGTTTCCCTTAACTCTGGATTGATCTCTCGCCTATCGGCAAGATAATCCTCCTTCCCATCCAGTATCACAAGATTGTAGGCCATCTTGCTCGCCGCCCCACTAGGCCTGAACTTCCTGCTATCATCCAACTGGTCAGGAGCAAAGGGTCCACTAGGGGCGGCCGCACTCACCAGAGGCGCTCCTCGCCCAGAGCAGAGGTGCTTCTTGTGAAAGTTCACCATCTGATTCAGCTGCGATAGTGCGTAGGCACGATCCTCCAATGACGCACTCTTCATCCCAGCCTCAGTCAGAGGAGCCTCAGGCTTGTCATAACTCGCCTTTCCGCCCCATCTCGCCGCGACCAGCTCAGCAGACTTCACAGGGTCGATCATATTTCCCGACCACTCAGGCATGTTGCTCAACCTCCTAGTCAACGCGTCTACCGACGCAGCCAAGTCTTCGTCCGTCACGGTGTAAGGGTCGACCTTCTCCCTGTCGTCCTGACCCACATCCGGAAGCCTATAGTCCCCGCGGATGGCCTCCATCGCGGTCCTCTCGGCTTCCTCAGCCTCCTCTTGCGTGGCCACAGCTCTAGGAATCAAGAGCGCGACCTCAGCCGGCAACGACTTCTCCATGTTGATTGGAGTGTTCTTGGGAAGGATTCTTCGATCATCTCCCTCCCCGCTGTACACGTATTCCCGAGCAGCCTTTCGGTACTCCTCAGCGGTAGCCCCTCTGTAGTTGGAGGCCTTGCTCGGGTCCGCCTTCCCAGCCTCGGTACCCCGAGGCGTGGGCTCCTTCGTCCCGGTGGAATCCTTCTTGGAGCCTTCCTGATCCACGTCCATGTCGTCCTTCTTCTTCTCCGTCACGGACAGTTTCCCAATGTCAGGAAGGGTCACATCATCATCCTTTCCTG